AATTTTCCTATATATTTCTATGTAAAACTTTTGGTCGGCCATTTTGGCCCCGTCCTACGCCGGGGGATCATGATTTGAACAAACTTGAATCTACACTACCTGAGCATGCTCCCATATAAATATGATGAATTATGGCTTTGTCATTCTTGAGAAGAAGATTTTTAAAGAATTTTCCTATATATTTCTATGTAAACTTTGGTCGGCCATCTTGGCCCCGCCCTACCCCTGGGGGTCATGATTTGAACAAACTTGAATCTACACTACCTGAGGATGTTTCCCCATAAGTTTCATCTTTCCTGGCACAGTGGTTCTTGAGAAGAAGATTTTTAAAATATGCCACTAAATTTTCATTAATTCCCAATTATCTCCCCTTGAATGAGGGCTTGGCCCTTCATTTGAACAAACTTGAATCCCCTTCACCCAAGGATACTTTGTGGCAAGTTTGGTTAAAATTGGCCCAGCGGTTCTTGAGAAGAAGTCGAAAATGTGAAAAGTTTACAGACAGACAGACGGACGCCGGACAAAATGCGATCAGAAAAGCTCACTTGAGCCTTCGGCTCAGGTGAGGTAAAAATAGGACAAATTCCGCTCTTTCCGAGACTAAAACATTACGATTATTTCTACATATACTGAGTATTCTGCCAATATATATCTTATGCATTCAGATTCATTGAATCTCATGCTGTTGTGGATTGGATACCTTAAAAAGACGAGGGTTACTATTTTTAACAAATATGTTGTAATATTTGCAAGTAGAGTTGGAAATACAACCATTCCACGCGATAAAAAACTGAGCTTTTTGATAAACAGACAACTGCATTTAACTTTTAAATGGAAATGGAAGGCGGAAATTTTCCTATCATGTGATAAAACAGATTGGTAAAAAAAATCGCTCTGATTCTACTCCGAAGCTGGTATTAAAAGGATGCTGGGAGTTTTATTATTGACAACTTTGATACACTCTCAGGAGACCAAGTCTTTCAACAATCTGAACTTAGATGGGCACTAATTGTGTTCTTTTATATGATGATATGCTTTTATTTTCATATGAAATAGAATTTATTCAAAATCCACATAAGAAGAAGAAAACACTTGCTGTGGCCTTTGACTCTACATTTAGGTATATATCTACGGAAGCCTAAATGGCTCTACACTTGTTGTGTTATAACTTTGTATATTGTCTTATATTTTATCGACTTATTTAAGAAATAAGGTATCATTTTTTGAGTGTTATTGGGATGTAAAACGGGTTGGTCACGTGATCAAATCCCATAAAGCCCGAAGGGCTTTATGGAAGATTTGATCATGTGCCAACCCGTTTTACATCCCAATAACATTCAAAAAATGATACATTATTACTTATATTTACATTTGTGACTTATTCATACTTTAAACTTGCCTGATTGTGACTTTTAACGTGTGAAATGCATTATTTTTCAAACCCAACGGCATGTTTGTAATCCACTGACCGCGCGTCGACCCTTTATGACGTCACAGAGAAATTACGTCGAACGTTTATCCATACGAACATCTATGACCTCTTGACCCCGTACCTGTATTTATACAGTTATAAAAACGCTTGCTTTCAGTTGTGTTATATAAAGGAAAACATTTGCAAATGTAAATATAAACATGTAAAGTGTTATACCTCCTTATTTATGTACATATCTTAAATTGTATTAAGATTTCTTAACATAATAGAAGGTAACTTCTTTTGTTCAATAGATTTTGTTGCTCAAAGTTTTATCGACTGAAACAATATATTGATTTATCAGATATTGATTGAAACAAGATATTTAATCATATCGATATAATATTGTTGATATGATAAAATAAAGATATAGTTATATCAATTCTGATTTATGAATATTGCCGATAAAGAAGTCAGAATAAAGTGTTTTTGAATTATATTGGCGGAGGCGGGAATTCCAATGAACCTTCACTTCACTCGGGATTCAGTGAAAGCTTATGTATCATGTCAGCATGTACGATTAAAGGCTGAATCAAATTAAAAAGTATATTGAAAAAGGGAGATGAAGACACATTAAAAGTTATAGATCCATAGTGTGCTATTGCACCGATCACCACTTTTGAAGAGGGGGAGACAAGAGTATTTTTGTGCCCCTCATCCAGCTATAAAAACCCCAAAAAACTGAGTACAGCAGAGATCCACTGATATGTCCCCAAATTTAATAAAATTCTGGCAGTTAGATTATTAAATCCCTGGGGTGTTTTGCTTGTTATAAATCTATTTTGGCTGACACTACACTTTCCTCCTTTGAACTTTGTGACTAAACTAATATACAGATTGGCTGAAATCACAAATTATTTCATATTATTTAATCCAATAAGAAGTTAAGGGGGGGGGGGAGGGAGGTTCAAGACTGTGGAGATTCGCGGTCAGATCCTATGTATACTACAGAGTGGAACAACATCAAACATTTACAAAGTACATATATAATCAGTGGTACTTTTATAATAGTGTTACTTTGTATTTTCGCTTCATTAGCGATTAACAATCCCCATTGAACTCAAGAGATATACTAGTAAGCAGTGAACCACGATAGAATATATCAGGTTCCCTCTTCAAAATAATTTCTTATGACAATGCATATAATTTAACTGTTGGTGTCTCTCCATCTCAATTTTTTTAATATTTTTTAATTTTGTTTCAGCCTATAATCGTACAATAGCAAATACATGGTTCATAAGCTTCTCAAGTGAAGTGAAGATTAATTAGAATTCCCGCTCCCGCCAAGTTCATTCAAAAACACCTTTTTCTGACTTCTTCTCGAAAATAATCACATATCTTTATCGATATAACTTCATACTTATTTCTTCATATCGACAATGCTATATTGAAATGAATAAATATTTTATTTAGATCGATATTTGAAAATTAGTATAATATTTCAGTCGATAAAAGTTAAAGCAATAAAATCTATTGAACAAAAGAAGTTGCCTTCAAATATGTAAACACACCTCAATACAATGCAAAATATGTGCATAAATAAGGAGGTATAACACTTTATATGTTGATAAGTCGATAAAATACAGACAATATACAAAGTTATAACACAACAAGTGTAGAGCCATTTACGCTTCCGTATATATCGACGATGTATTTCCAATTAAAAATAGTTTCATTCATAATTATATCGAGTCGATGTATCTCAGTGAAAATAAAATAAAAGACACTAAAGTGCCTGCGATATGTTTCATTTTTAGATGTTTACTGGCTTTAGACGATGACGGCCAAATAACAGCTTAATTTTTGTTTTTAAACAAACGAAATGACTTCAACTTTTCCACACTTAATATCCTTGTGTATATTGTTATCTGATTACATGCATATTAGGACTGGGTATTGGCCAGAGATTCGTATTGCGATATTTTTAACTGTATTGCGATATATATTGCAATATTTTCAATAAAATTATAATGGCATTTTCTTGTTATATTAACTCTGATTTGCATTTAGAATGTACATAACTATGAAAAGTCACGAGAAGGAAAAAAATTGTTGATTTTATATAACTTATGCTCTGAATTATATCAATAAAGCAGCTTCTGTCTTACTGTTTGGCTTAATAACAAACCTTTCTTACATTTATTTTATATTTGCTGATAAAATTCCTTAGTCTATGCATTTTGCCAATATATCGATATAACAAAAACGTATTGCAATACGATATTTTTGGTCAGTGTATTGCAATTAAGTTACCGAAATATGGATATCTTTGCCCTACTGCATATGGTGTTTATGTCCCCCCCCAACTTATTTGCTACTGAAAAGCATGCTGAGTACGTTTAGTTTTAAAATCGAAGTAGCCTACTCAGACATAAGTTGAAGTTGCAGGGAAGTTGCAGAGATTTCAACAACCTGGTTAAAGGCAGCCTGACCTTGTTACCCAATATAACCTATTATCGGGTCGTATCGACTTGTTTCAATTGTTATGCCTTTCCTTTGCCCTCGTAATCGAAGAGTCAGGGTATATAGTTTTTATCCTGTCCGTCCGTCTGTCTGATTGTCTGTTTGTCCACATAAACTTTAACCTTGCCCATAACTTTTGACTGGGCGGTGTTATAGCTTTCAGGTTTCACAGGTGTATTCTATGTGACAAGACCTTTCTTTTGATACCACCAAATTTGATCTTGGGAGTTTAACACACTTTTATACAAAAATACCATCTTTTACTTTGGCTATAAATTTTGAATGATTAATGCTAGGACTTTCATACTTTACAAATGTATTATTTCTCACAAGACCTTTCAATTGATACCAACAACTTTGACCTTTGAGATTGACCTACTTTTAAAAACTTTAACCTTGGCCATAACTTTCGAACGGTGAAGGCTCGGCTTTCTTACTTCACAACTGTAACCCTTGTGACAAGAACTTTTATTGGATACCAACAAGTTTGACCCATTGACCTAAGCGTTAGATCTACTTTTAAAAAAACTTTTAAAAAAAATCCTGGCCATAACTATTGAACAGTTAGGACCAGGGCATTCATGCATCACATAGGTAATCAATGTGACAAGACCTTTCTTTAAAAACAACTTTTGACCCTGGAGTTTGACCTTCCTTTAAAAATGTTTATCCTTGGCAATAACTTTTGAACAGGTGGTACTAGGGCTTTCATATTCAAGAATTGTATTTCTTGTGAGAAGGCCTTACTTTTGGTATCAACATATTCAATTTTCATTTGAGAAATTTAACCTTCGCTATGTTGACTTAATTTTACAACGGTATGTTCTGTCTGCTGGAGGAATACTTAAGGATTACAGCGAATTTGACTGGTCAACAGGGGATGCTTACTCCTCTTAGGTCTCATCACTGTAAATTCCAGGGGTCCGTATCTTATGTCCTCTACACAAATTTGTATTGTTTAGAATTATTTCGGGATCGATTACCATTCGTTTTTTTTTTCTTTGTTCCACCGACAGTTTCATTTTCATGATCTCACCATTCATAAGTTCTTTTTTTATTTTTGCAGATTACAAACACCATCATGGCCATAATTCTGAGAAAGCTACAACGATACATTATCGTAGTTACAGCGGTCACACTACTGTACCTATACTGGTATCATGTCTTCTTGAGGACTCCTGAAAAGCCACCTGAAAATACTCCAGAAAAGGCACCAGAAGAGGCACCAGAAAAAGTCATTCAACAAAAACCAGATAAGACACTAGAGGAGGCACCAGAAAAAGTCATTCAACAAAAACCAGATAAGACACTAGAGGAGGTACCAGAAAAAGTCATTCAACAAAAACCAGATAAGACACTAGAAGAGGTACCAAAAAAAGTCATTCAACAAAAACCCGATAAGACACTAAAAAAGGCACCAGAAAAGGCAACAGAAAAAGCCCTTCAACAAAAACCAGATAATTTTAGCGTAACTATTAACTTAAACACATACCCTATCATCAAATTAGACGATTTCCTCCTTCCTCCTCATCCAAAACGAGACAATTCGAACTCGAACCGGAAGTACTCCCAGGCAAGACAGGACGAGACAGTCTATAAAATATTTTCGAAAAAAGGTGGATTTTTTGTAGACATTGGTGCGAACGATGGTCTGTATTTCTCGAATACAGTTTGGTTAGAAAGACAACATGGATGGACCGGGCTATTAATTGAAGCCAATCCAGGACTTTGTAAACATATCGACGATCTCAAACGCCATGCTTGGCGACTCTGTGCATGCATATCTAACAAAGTGAGGCGTGCCAAATTTGTGCGAGCTGAAAGTTTAGGTGGAGTAGAAGAAAATTTGGACACTGATCACAAAAAACAGTTATTCAATACACGAAAAATAGATGTGCCATGCTTTAGTATGGCAGAAGTTTTGGACAGAATTAATGTCCACCATATTGATTTTTATTCACTAGACGTTGAAGGAGCAGAAATGGTCATTTTAGAGTCCATGAGGGAAGAACTTTCTTCAGGCAAAATGACTGTAGATGTTTGGTCCATAGAATACCGTGTCTGGGACGGAAAGCAAATTTTGCTGCATAAATCTTTGAAAAATTTAAAGGCTCTAAGAAAATTTTTCAAAGAAGTTGGCAGTTATGTTGAACATTCACACTTATCTAATGACAAAAACAATTCCATTGGTTATGCTTTGGATGTTATTTTTGTGAATATTAACACATGGTGTAAACATTATCCAAATCTCCCTAATGGAAAACTCTGTCAAAAGGCATAATACTTTTAGGACGCTTTAAAAAGGAACAAATAGACTTCAAGGACTTAGAACAAGAAATATTCAAATCGTAAATCGTATTGGAAATGAACAAGTTCAGCTTAATATACCTGTGAATGTCATGTGTTTATTTTCTCACTTTCTAGAAAACATATGTTGATGACCGTGTGATGGCAGCAGGTGTTCGTTTACACATAACAGAAACTTCAGAATATTCAATTGTGTTATGAAATGAACAAATACTTGTAACTTCTGTATTCCGTCCCCTTAGAAGCTACAAAACAAGTAATTTATTTTTGCAATGTTTTTTTAAATAAAGCACAAATTTAATTCTTGTAGCTTACCTTAGACTTGACGAATTTTACCGGTGTGTAAGTAAGTAAGTAAGTAAGTAATTTATTTATTTATAGTGACATGTGTACATAATTAAATTCGTTTGTTTACAGACAATATAAAACAACAATCAACACCCGGCCCATCGGGCCTATATGCCACTTTAAACACAAAATTGAATAAAATACAATACCGGTATATAAAGAAAATAAAGAGCACAACGTTAAGAGAATAACAAAAAGTGCATGAAAAATAAACATAATTGTAATAAATATATATTTATAAGCATTTTGTATGCTAAGATTGGTATAGTGTCTGTTATAAAGATTATTGTTAAATGAAAATGACATTGAAATATTATTTTATTTTTTGAACATAAAGGACTGTCTTCGCATAAATGAAAAATACAAGTACTTTGCAACCTGTCTAGGATAATTTGAGATAAGTAAACTTAGTAAATCCATATCTGACCACCCCATTTGATTAATGCCAGTGTTTTCAAAAAGTTTTGATCGATATTCAGAGTAAAAAGGACAGTGCAGTAAAAAATGAATTTCGTCTTCCACAATATTTCTAGAACAAAAAGTGCAAATTCGATCCTCAACAGATTCACCATGATATCTACCGGTTTCTATTCGTAAAGGTAAAATGCCACATCTAAATTGTGCTAAAATTGAACGCAAATATTTAGGCATATCAAGTACTACATAATTTTCCCTACCAAACCTTGTTTTAAAATTAACATAAGTCCGCAGTTTTGGGAATGCTTAAAATCTCATTGCTCCAAAGGTTTGAGTAATAATTGTGAATTTTTGATTGGACCATATTTATATCCACCATAAGCTTTGATTCGAAATAGTAATCCAGCTCTAATTTGTGTAATATATCTTTCAAATCACTGCACCAGTTATTACTACACTTATTGTAATCAACTTCAAATACAATTCTTGTAATTCGATCATTGCCAAAGGATAAGACTCTATTCCAATATCTGATCATATTTATCCAACGTCTATATTGACTTGGAATCCATCCAGTGTCTCCATAAACCCCCAATGTAGGAGCAAAACGGTGAACCCCAATAAAATACCGAATAGCTCTGTTCTGAATATTATCTATAGGTTGGAATTTTTTGTAACCCCAGACACTGGATGCATAATCCAAAACAGGTATGACACAAGAGTAAAATAGTTTTTCATAAGCATTAAACCTGAAATCTTTATTACTATGAATCGAAGATATAATTTTCCCTAGTGCACGTCCCCCTGCTTTAGCAAGATTTTCTGCATTTTTCATGAAATTACCAGTGTGCGTAAATGTTATACCTAAATACTTATAATCTTCAACTGTATCTAACTTATTAAGTCCAATAGTAAATTCAAAATTGGCTGCCCTTGACCTAGTTTTATTAAAATGTATACACTTATATTTATTGGTGTTTATAAGAACTCTCCAACGTCTACACCAGCTATGTATAGTTTATTTAACATACTTTGTAAATCTTCTGGGGACTTCGCTATTAAAGCGATATCATCTGCGTATAATAAGATGGACAATTTTCGATCAACTAGTTCTATGCCTAAATTAAGATTATTGATATCCTGTACCAGATCATTAATGAAAATTGAAAATAAGGTAGGGGATAAATTATCTCCCTGTTTAACACCAGTTTTGCATCTAAACCAATTTGTAAGTTTATTATTCACTCTTACACAAGATTCTGAACTTTGGTAAATATTCTTTATCGAGTTGTAAACTTTACCATCTATATTATGTAACAAAAGTTTGTAAAGCATCATATCCCTATCGACAAAATCAAAACATTTTTGGAGGTCAATAAATGCAACATAGAGATTTTTATTGTTTTGGACTAAACTATTCAATGTAAATAAATGATCTTCACACGATCTATCCTTTCTAAAACCATTTTGTTCATCTGCTAAAATATCGTTATTCTCTAGATAACTCATAATTCTTTTATTTAAAAAGGAACTGTACAGTTTGCTAATACATGGCAACAGACTCACGCCACGGTAGTTCATTGGGACTCGTTTGTCTGAAGAGGGATCCTTAAGAATAGGGCATATTATTGCTTTCCTCCACACCGAGGGGATCATGCTTGTATCAAAAATATGTTGAAAAAGACGACGTATTGTATTGATAACAACTGGATATTTCAGAACACTGTAAGGAATTTCATCGAATCCACAAGCGGAATTGGATTTTGCACGCATCACTATATCAGAAATTTCATGAAACGATACATCATAATTAATTTCATCGTTACACTGATAAAATTCTTCTTCCGACCGACGTTCTCTAATATCTTTATCTTTTTTTGAATCGTTGTAGTGGACGTTATCAAATTCGGTACTTCCACACCCGTTGTACAGATTTTCAAAATCGACTCTCCATCGTTCCAAGATTTCCCGTTCGTTGGATATAACATTTCCTTCGTCATCCAAAACCTCCATTGGTATGTTGTGTTTATTTCTAGGGCCAAGAATTCGAATTTTATTCCAGAATTCATTTGGATTTGTTGAACTCATATCTTCTATTACATTAGCAAATGATTTCTTGTAGGTGCGTTCAGCGCGTCTAAGGGTTTTATCAAATAAATCTCGTGCTTCGATATATTCCCGTCTAAGAGCAGATTTGACTTTTCTTTCCCCCTTGTATCGTATGAAATTATTTTCCGTTTCCCGTGTCACGTTCCATAGATCTGTTAATTCGTCAGTCCAATATGGTTTGCTATTTTTAAAACGTTTCTTATAACTTCTTGGCTTAACCTTTGGAAGTTAGTATTCCATTTCATTATATATTATTTCACATAGTTGTTCATAGATCTCATCAATACTTTCTTGTGTTTTTCGGCTGTTTTCAATCAGATCAATTGTTGCTATCAAAGCAGACCTTCTCAATTCGCTTGACATAAAATCATTTGGGATCCTATTGAATTGAAAACGATTTTGACAGTGTTCACTTTTTGGGGTACTAGAAACTAAACAACAATCGGATAAATTTAATTCACACATAATGACGGAATGATCAGGAAGTTTTGATTTTTCCCCGACAAACGTCAATAGTTCAAATTCCGCTACAATATTCTGTATAGTTAATACCGTAAAGTTCTTGATTCGTCTAAATACATCTATTGGTATGCATATATAATCTACTACAGATTTTCCCTTCCTTGAAATACATGTGAAATTATCATCTGGGAATCTTCCATTCAATACACAGAAATTTGCTTCATTGAGAAAGTCAATTAATTCATGACCGTGTTGATTAACAGTGTTGTCTATAGCTCTACGATTAGGAATATGATCAATGTCTTGAAGTATGTCATTCGAATTGCCAATTCTAGAATTTAGGTCACCCATCACAAAAATAGCGTCACTTTCACAACTTAAATAAATCTGTGTTAAAAGGTGTGACCGGTCGGCAGGGGATGCTTACTCCTCCATGGCAGTCGATCAGATCTCTGATGTTTTGGAGGTCCGTCGTGTTTGCTCCACTTCTATTTTGTATTGTTTATTTGACTTGAGCTCGAATACTGTTCGTTATCTCCACTTTATTCATTCAATTATTTTATGTTGTGCATCCAAGAAAGTAATATTACACTTAAATTACGAGATTAAACAGAACAAAACTTATGATGAGAACACGTTTCTGAACCTGATGGCAAAGCAAAATTCAAATTTAGAGGTGATGGCATTAGAACAGTTTACCCATCGGTGTGGATTGTGGCAAGTTTGAAAGTGGACGACTTTTTTTTCGTAAAAAAAAAAAACTTTTACACCTTAGCGGACGATGATAACGAACTGATTTGTGCTTGTAGGCAACATGATTGACTTTTTATACCTTTTATTTTTATTTTTCAAACATTGATCGCAAGTGAACCAAAATCGGCGGCTGGCGACTTTCATCAAGTGTTACTCATCCGATATAAAAGATACCACAGAGATTGACATACTCAGTATCTGTTTCATATTTTGATATTTTATTAGAAAAAGACGTTACGTAATGGTACATGTAACTAAGCAGCAAAATTTTATGATAAACGTGATGACTTTTCTTTTTCCTTCTTTAACTGACCTACTTTACGTAGCAATGTACCATTATCACCTGTCTATGGGTTTTATGTCTTCCACTTGATTCGATACGCAGGGGCATGCTATTAAACAATTTCTGACTCTAGGCAAGTTATTGACAAATATGTGAATAATAAAAGAAGGATATCAAAAGTATCATACAAAGACAATATTTCGCAATTTCTATGGTCGATATGACCCTGTCAGCAAACACAGTCTGTCCACTGTTGACTGGCTTTTTCAAATAAATTATTTTCGAACTAAATTGTCTGTGGATTTTTCTGTTTGTCTGATCGTAACAAGGAGTACATGGCTGATGTGACTGGTTGACAGTGGATGCTTACGCCTTTATGGCACCTGATTCCGTCAGTGATGATTTCAAGATGGTCGTGTTTATTCTGCTCTTGATTTGAACTGCTGCAATGGACATTGAACATTTATTCATTACTGTTCGTTATCTTCATGTTTCATAGCAAAACTGCATTAATTAATTGTATGAAAGTGTTTATCCCCAAAATTGTGAAATTCATGGACCCATGCTTGATCAAGGGTTCTGGTGTTAGGACAGTAGTCTGTACATACAGAAAATGCAAAAGTTCGTTGACGAACTTTTCTACTCCTGAACATTTAAGAGGCAAACAGAGTTTAAAATTTCAGCGAGCCAGGGTTGTTTATTCTTGACCCCTTGACTTTGTTATTGTTTTGGGAGAGCTTTTTGATCACGTAGAGAATCTGCACTTGTTGTATTTTTGTGCAATAAAAAATCGGTATATACTAGTAGTTATGGTAGAGTGGGAATTTACATAAGATTACAGGTAAGATTTCGGGTATCTTTTCTTTACAAAGTTCCCTTTATTGTCACCGAAAAACTGATTATATGGCAATTTTAATAGACCTTTTAGAATAGATGTCAAGAATAAATAAAATTTGAACGGGTTTTGAGAATGTACATCTAAGATATGTCCTTAAAAACTGTTTATTATATGTGATGATGAAGTAACCAAAGATTACGAAGCTCACCTCGCCGAAAATTGTCTATAAGAGAAGACAATCTCTCATCAATGAATGTTGTGGTAATATGCTTATCTGGGTGCAACAACCAGCTTTACTTTGAAATTAGCTTGCTCCAACTTGGTCATTCATTTTTGGAAATGCAGGCCAGATAAATGAATGCGGGTAATATAAATACTCAGTATCTGGTAGTGTGCATCCCTGGATGAATAATCTGTGCAAGTTTGGTTCAGGTTGTTCAATGCTTATATGTTTATTTGGGAATGGATCTGCTCCCATATATTCCAATTATTCAGCAATCAAAAAGACCCCCTCCCTAAATGCATCATCCGTGTACAAGTCTGTTCCAGGTGAGGCTTAGACTCATATAAGAATGGACTAGTTCCAAAATCTTTAACCTGGTCTCTCATCTAGCAAATGTTGGTCAGATCCAGCATTCTGTTGGTGCGCATCCTTAGACGTAGCTGCAAAAATAGCTCGCTGTTTGAGAAAAAATCGGACAGCTATTAGCTTTATCTCAAGCGGTTTGCTACATTTCTGCATCTACCATAGACGATTAATACATCGCACAGTGTATATTCAAGTTTGTTTGGTCCAATAAAGGACTTTAAAAAAGTACCTTTGGAATGGACATTTCTATTTAAGGAATGACTCTAATTCTTGGCCATATTATCGAGTATAATCTGGTTTGGGTCAGTTTACGCTTTATAATCCGCGAAGCGGATTATAAAAAAGCGTAAACTGACCCAAACCAGATTATACTCGATAATATGGCCAAGAATTAAAGTCATTCCTTATAATTTAATTTTAGAATAATTAAACAACTTTTGATGTAAAATTGTGTTGCTTTTTATAAGTTCAAATTTACCGCGCAATAATACAACCGTAGTAACGGAAGTGATTTGAAGCGAGGGGAGGTAATAACTGATACATAGATCTTGCAGCCATGATGTTTGTTTACATGAGGTAAGAACGAGTAATTGTTTAAAGTTAAAGGTACATTTATTAAATCTGGAATTTTCCATGGATTCCGAGGACTGGAAATGAGGGGATTGCATGGATATGATGATTAAGCTGGTCGTCAAAGGGGTGTGTCCCCATACCAAACCAGATTATACAAAATGTTATGCGTTCCTTTTTGGAAATCAACCAATGAGAGGCGAGAATACAAATAAAATTAAATTATATACATATAAATCTAAACAATTTTTTATCATACCTTTTTTAAAAAAGACATTATTCATTATTATACTTCTGTTAAAATGTTTCCTATATAAAGTTCAGAAGGTAAAATAGCTATCTTTTATAGTTCACGCATAGCAAAGCTATACCCCGGGGTATAGTTTTTGCTATCCACCCTCGGAAAATTTTCATGCAATTTTTGCCTCCAATTTTGATTTCCAGCAATAAATCTATCGACTGATGATGTCATAATGACTTCAGTAGCATTGTGACGTCATCAGGTTTTCAGATTATTCTTGCAGTATTATCTTACTCCTAAAAAATTCAAACCTCAGAAATTATATTATACATCAGTATAATAAAACGCTTATCCACTAGGTGTGAGTGGGATAGCTCTTTTATCAAACCCTTGACAGAGACTATTCCCCTCGGGCAAGCCCTCGGAATACCCCGGTAGTTCTCTGTCGCGGGTTTGATAAAAGAGCTATCCCACTCACACCCAGTGGATAAGTGTATATTATTTTTCGCTTACATTATCAAACGTCAACAAGTTATCTATATGAACATAAACTGAAATGATATGCATGCTGCTGCTGATTTCTGAAGAAGTCGCATAAAATAAGCTCATCAGATCTCGCCTTCGTCAAGGTAAGTTACAAATCTAAAACCCAAGGCGAGTGCGACAAGTCAAATCATGTATATGATTTTTATCTTGGGATGTGAAATAAAAAATACATATAACTGTATCAATTTTTTTTTTACCATCTTATGTTTGGAAAAATCGCTTTTAAAATATTCAAAACATTTTACACAGATGTAAAAAAAAATCGGCCTGCATAATGGTATTTAAAAAGTTAATTCCACAGTCGGTATATGAATAGGGCTCGCAAAATCCGTCCACATCGTTGTTCTGCTTATGTTACCTGAACAAAGAATCCGAGTCTCTTTTAAACACCTCTTGCACCTATTCATCGTTCTGTGTTGTTCTACACATTATTTAATATATAGTAACTAAACACAAAAAATGTACATAATTATATCAATGATTTCATATTAATCATGCCCATGGCGAATCATACAATATACATGTAGGTAAGAAAAAGATCGGCGTAGATTGATCGGACATGGCGTTGCTTGTTTGCGTGCTCACTATCCGTATCCGAATAGTCAATTTAAATGTGGGGAAGTACAGGCCTTAATTTGCAAAAGAGAGCCAATCGATCTGGTTTATACTACAATGAATTTCTATCCTCTCTTCACCTATTTTCCACAATAAACTCGTCCTTAATGAGCTTCGTATGTCTACCCGGTAAAGTTGGTTTGTGATGAAAATAAACATGTATTTTGAAATAGAAGAGAGGATGTAAGTGTCGAAACACGTGGCAACGAACATCAAGAGCATAGGTAGGCAACGTGGGATGTTTACTGCAGGTGTAGATACTATCTTGGTTATATATTCTATATATAGAGAGGATATATATTTAGAAAATACCATGCTTACACGTGCTATATACAGATATATATAGTTGTCAGTGTCAGGGACGTATCTGGGTCCAGGACAAACTTTTTATTTGGCTACATTGTTTATACAATAGTTTAACTACAAGCTATTCAAAATAGCAGTATTTCACATAAATTTGTATACTATATATATGTTGTTGATAATTGTGTACATATTTAGAAAATCGTAGAAATATAGAATGCAGTTTGGTTGCAAATAATCTGTAGAAACTAGGGAATACCATGCTGACATATTCTATATAGCTGATAATCAGCTGATAATCTGTAGAATAGGGGATTCCATGCTGATATATTAATCTATATAACTGATAGAAACTAAGGAATACCATGTTGACATATGATACCAGTACATATAGCTGATAATCTGTAGAAATCGGGAATACCATGCTGACAAATGCAGTATAGCTGATAATCTGTAGAGAATGCCATGCTGACATCTTCTATATAGCTTAAAATTTGAGAAAACTAAGGCATACATTGATAACATATTATACAATCTGTAGAAATAGGGAATACAATGCTGACATATCTAATCATAAGTAGAAAGTAAGAAATAGCAAGCTGAGATATTTTAAATTTTGACAACTGTATTTAGGAATGCCATGCTGACATATTCTAACAAACTATGCTAAACCATGCTGACATATTGTATATATCTGATTATCAGTAGACCATGCTAACATATTCTGATAATATGCATACAGAAATAAGGAATGCCATATTGACATGCAAGTATTCTATATAGATGATAATCTGTAGAAAAAAAGGAATACCTTGATGACATATTCCACATATCTGACAATCTGTAGAAATAGGGAATAGCATGCTGACATATTTTGATAATCTGTAAAATCTTTGGAATACCATGCTGACATATTCTATATAGCTGACAATCTGCAGACACTAAAGAATACTATGCTGACCACAGGCACTTGGGTTACATTATTGATAACATATAGTGCATATTAGAATAGAATAATAGGAAAAAGGTGACTCGAACCCAGATTTAAAAAATTAAAAAAAAATGGAAAGGGGGGGTGTCCATACCCCAAGTGCCTGTGATGCTGACATATTTTTTATAGCTAATAATATTTAGAAACAAGGGAATACCATGCTGATATATTCTATGTAACTGACAATATGTAGAAATAGGGAATGCCATGGTTGCAAATTCTGATTATCTGTAGAAAAAATGGTATAACAAGCTAAGATTTTCTGATAATCTGTAAAACCTATGGAATACCAATCTGAGGTAATTTGACCATGCTGACATATATGATAATCTGTAGAAACTAAGGAATACCAAACTGAGATTTTTTGATAATTTGTATAAATACTAAAATAGGGAATACCATGCTGACAAATTTTATATAGCTGGTAATCTGTAGAAACTCACGACTACACTGATGACAAATTCTATATAGCTGCTAAACTGTAGATGTAGGAAATACCATGCTGACATGTTTTTTTTATTGCTAATTATATGTAGAAACTATGAGGAATACCGTGTTGACATGTTCTGATAATCTGTAGAAACTAAGGAATACCTTGATGACATATTCTTCATAGCTGACGATCTGTAGAAATAAGGAATACCATGCTGACATATTCTGATAATCTGTATAAGCTATGGAATTCCATGCTGACATATATTTATGGCTAATAATATATGTAGAAACTATGGAATTCCATGCTGACATATGGTCTATAGAAACTAGGAAATGTAACGCTAACATTCTAGATTCTAGATCGACGAAAATTTGTAGAAAGAGAGAAGGTCGTGTTAGTTGTTTTAGATTTTTAAAAAAATCCAGAGAAGAAAGAAAAGCCACTCGAACATGTTCTTGATAGATGTAAAAGTTTAAGTATTTTTTATGATTTTAGAAATAAGTTTTGAATGAGCGAAGTATAATCGAGTTCATTTCTTCTTTACCTTCCTTAACCCAAAATAAGAAGGTAACATTCATTCAATTATTATCACAAAACCATATTTAAATGGCACAACAGGTACATATATACATCTTTTCAGATTTATGTACATCTATTTAGAATGATTACTTTATTTTATGTGGTGATTTTAATCTGGCTCTTGACCCTTCAATAGATACAGAAAACTATTGTAACATTAACAATCCAAAGGCAAGAGAAAAACTTTTAGAAATTATGAATGACTTACAAATAATAGACTACTTTAGGGTTTTGAATCCAAATTTAAAAATATTTACATGGCGAAAGAAAAATCCAATAAAACAAGGACGATTAGATTATATTTTAATTTCTGAAAATATGTGCAACTTGGTTGAAAATTTAGTAATTAAACCAGGGTACAGATCTGACCACTCATCAGTGGTTCTCGATATAAAATTCAATACCTTTAAGAAAGGGAAACGTGTCTGGAAATTTAATAACTCTTTACTTGTAGACAAAACATACGTTACCAAAGTGAAAGAAACAATAAAATCTGTTAGAAACAAATACGAAAAGAATAATGTGCTTATAGAAAATATGGATAATAGTACATTTTTTGAAGTCCTTCTAATGGAGATTAGAGGCATTACTATTTCATATTCATCATATAGAAAGAAAGAAAAAAATAAAGAAGAAGCCTTGTTAATTGCACAAATAGAAAAATTAGAGGCAGAGAATATCGGAACATTAAATCTAAATTTAATAGAGGAGAAAAAAACAGATCTTGAGAATTTAAGAAAAGAAAAGTTACAAGGTCACATCATAAGATCTCGAGCCAGATGGGTTGAATATGGAGAAAAACCATCTCAATATTTTTGTAAATTAGAATCCCGTAATT